ACTTACATGGAAGAAGGGAATTATTTTTCATTAAACAAAGTGTATGGAGCTTACTAGAAATTTATTTATTTTGGTTGAACACCTAAGCTGGACGTGTCATGTTCAACAAGTCTTCTCCAATCCTCTTGAGAATAATAATGATTGAATATTTTTTTGAATGAGTTTCCCTTGCCGTTTGGGTGGGTCGAATCGAAGTAGTGCGAAGTGAAGTCCTAGTAGGCATACGTGGTGGTCGTCAACTCGTAACCTGGTTGTTAAGTCGAAACTTGAAATGGCAGAAAGAACCATCTCTTTTTTTCTTTTCTTTTTTCTTTCTATGTTTTGGATTACAGATTTGATTTGAAGCACTGAATTCCGGGATGATGGATGGAAAACGTCTATGGTATTAAAATCAAATCCAACAGATTACGTATAATAATGTCAAGGTATCCGGCATAAATAAATATAAATTATTAATTCCAAAAGAGATTATATGCTATTAATAATTTGTTATTCTATATTAGCAGAACTATTAATTATTATTATTATTAGCAAGGAAGAAGAAAGGATAGAATATGAGAAAGTAGGTAGAAGAAGAATGTCAAAGAAAAAGAAATAAAAAAGAAGAAGAAGTTGACCTATCCAAAAGTTAAGAATAAAAAACAAAAGGAATGACTACGTGTGAGTGGTGACGTCATATTAAAAGCGACAGCATGGATTCTAGAAAAAGATCCCATTTGTACTCGTTAGTCCCGTGGTACGTCGTTTCTTGGAAGCCTGTGTGTTTGGGGAATTGCGAGCCCTCTGTTTCCGTTGCCTTCATATACGAAAAAGGGTTGGGTTGTGTTGTGTGCGCCACTCTGAACAAATGTTGAGTGCTTAATTTGGCTCTCCCATTTTTTCTCTTTGTTTAAATTTCTTTAGATTTTGGAAAACATTTTTCATCTCAGTTGGAGCAACATGGGCTATTGCCCATGTTTCGGGTTCAGGAAGGGGAAGAAGCTCAAGAGAGACACAGACGAAGAGAAAGACGTCGAGAAGACGACAATACGGAAGCCTGAGGAGAATGTGGCTCAGTTTCCTTCTGGTCAGTTGATACGATACGATTGTCTCTCTTTCTTTTCTTCTTGGTTTTTCTTTCTTTTCTCTTTCTTTCTTTTCCATTAGAATACCAGTTTGAGAAAGCTATCAGTTTGTTTCCTGTCGTCAAATTTTAGAGTCAAGACAGTGTTCTTGATTCTTTGTGTTGTTTTGTGATTTGGGTCATGCTATAATATTGTAATCAGTTGGCTTTTTAGATTTTGCGCCTTTAGCTCATCGCGGGTGTTATAACTGAATGCGATCATGTTCTTGGAGTTTTTTTGTTTTCTCAATTTGGGATTTTTGTTTTTCTAATTTACCAGTTACCACGTTCTGTTATCTGCTTTCAATTCAAAATGACATCTTTTCTGAAATCCCAAGTTTCAATCTTTTCTGAAAATATTAAAAATATTAGAACAAGTGTGCAAAAATATTCAAGATTGACACTTGTTAAGGGTTTTATACTTTTCAGCGGGGCTTGTCTAGGATCATGACAAAGCTAGCCATAGTTCCAAGGTTACTCACTGCCAGTACCTAAATAGGATAATGAAATGACAGCAGTAACTATTGGAGAACTCATACCAACACTAAATCTTAGCTAACCTGTTTACAGTTTCAATGTATTTCTAGGAGAATTGATTAATTTACTGAATTTGAATTTTAAGATGCTCTGAGTCAGGATTATACACATTGAATCAAATTGATGTGATACAGTTCTCTCTTCTGCCCTGTACTATTAGATATTTCTGCTTCTTTTATGTTATTGAATCTTGTCCTATAATCTGCTCCAGGAGATGGAACTAATGTTGAAAATAAGGCTCAGACATTCACCTTCCGTGAGCTTGCAACTGCAACTAAAAATTTTAGGACGGACTCCTGTATCGGAGAAGGTGGATTCGGGGCTGTATACAAAGGAAAATTGGGATCTGGTCAAGTAAGTGTTTCAAGGGATGACTAACTTCTTCTGAACTTTTTATCATTCAAGATTGCTGATATCTTCATCCCCATCACTTGAGTTATTTTCATGATTTGTTTTATTCAATTTTAAAGAGAGCAGTTTCTTTTCAGCAGGTTGTCGCAGTAAAAAAACTCGATCAGACTGGTCTTCAAGGAGAAAAGGAGTTTCTGGTGGAGGTTCTCATGCTTTCTCTTCTGCGTCACCCTAACCTTGTCAGTTTAAGTGGTTACTGTGCTGAAGGGGAGCAGCGCCTGCTTGTCTATGAATTCATGCCCTTAGGGTGCTTGGCAGATCACCTCCACTGTAAATGCTTTAATGCCATTCAGCTTTCACTTTATAACACGATATGTAGTTCCTTTCATGCTTAAACTCCCATGAATTGATTCACTATATATTCAGTTATACATCTTGTGCAAAATTAATCAAGAAAAAAAGGAGCTTCTCCTCTTTTCATCAATAGGTTCTGAGGGGGGCTGCCAGAGTTACAATAGTGTAATTCGTGAGCTCCCTCCTATCAAAAATGGATTGTGAATGTTTGTTCTCAGTCTTTCCCAATGAATCATATTCTCTTGAAGACTTTGCTTAGCCAAAGTAGGCTATGCATCACGTAGTTTAATGTAGTTTAGAGCTTGTATCTTGGTTCTAGTAACCGAAGAATATGAGTTTTTCCTCGATCCATGGGGTCAAACTCAACTCTAGTCTGAGGTAACCCAACACATGTACAAGTAATAAATGATGAACAACGTTAGTTATAGTTCACCTCAACTCTCTGCTTTATATGTTTGTTTCATATTGTGAGTAAAACAGGAAATTTTATTTCAAATATTTATGAGTGACATAAATGAGGCAGTAGAACCACTCTAAGGACATTCCAGCTCTCGTGTTTACCCATTACAGTCTGACTTCTAAAGAACTTATGTATGTAGGCTCTAATTCTAATCATACTTAATGCATGTCATGTAACTCGCTATCCCATATCTCCTCATTTATAAAATTTTCAAGTGCCTGACCTCCCCATGTTATTGTTGCCAGATCCTCCACCTGGAAAGGAGCCACTTGATTGGAATACAAGGATGATGATAGCTGCAGGTGCAGCCAGGGGATTGGAATATCTTCACCATGAAGCTGATCCACCTGTAATATATAGGGATGTAAAATCAGCTAACATTTTATTGGGCGAAGGTTTCTTCCCAAAGCTTTCTGATTTTGGGCTTGCAAAATTTGGTCCAACCGGAGATAGATCGCATGTTTCCACCAGGGTCATGGGTACTCATGGTTACTGTGCTCCTGAATATGCTAAAAGTGGAAAGCTAACAGCAAAGTCTGACATTTACAGTTTCGGGGTAGTGTTGTTGGAGCTGATCACTGGACATAAGGCGATTGATAGCAATCTTGGTCGTGAGAAGCATCTTGTTGAGTGGGTAATTCACTTTGTTTCATTTTATTATGTCTACTAGCATGCCAACATTGCATCTGGTTAGGCTCTCAAGGGCAACGTTATATAGTTACTTGAGTTAACCCTGTAGCTATAGCTATAGCTATCATCTCGTGTCTGCATCTGATTAGGCTATCGCATTCTGTTGCTTGTTAATTTTGAGGATGTTGAGCAACGATTGAAGATTTAACCAATTTTGTGAAGTGGGGAATCTTTTCTTATTTTTTAAGAGGATATATGAAAGAATGCATAGCAGTAAATTTTGGCTTTGATAGTACTCAACTCATCTTGGAGGTTACCGTGGTTGAATACTTGGCATAAGAAAAGATTTTGCTTCTGTAGGGTTATGTGTTCAATTTCTAAATATGCAGAGCAGTATTTTCTTTAACTGATATGTAGCTATGATTAATCCCATTCTTTGCCTATGTAGGCACGTCCTTTTATGAAAGACCACAAGAATGTTGCGCAACTTGCTGATCCACAGCTTAAAGGTCGCTTTTCAGTATCTGTCTTGAAGAAAGCCCTTGAAGTGGCTTCCATGTGTCTCAGAGAAGATGCTGGTGCCCGGCCTTCAATGAGGGATATTGCGCTTGCTATGGATTACTTGGCATCCCGTCCATATAATGAACCAAATGAGACCAACAAGGTTGAAGTAAAGGGTTCAGGGGATAACTCTCCAGATGAAACAACTATGTTAAACAAGGAGTTGGAGAGAGAAAGAGCTGTTGCTGAGGCCAAGGTGTGGGGAGAGACTTGGAGAGACAAACGAAGACAAGGTGCACAAATTAGTGATGATGACTTTAGATAACTAGTCTATAGTGCAATGCCTGGGTTTGCCCCCACCATGTAGAATTTTTCAAAGTACAGACAATTTTCCATTTAAAAAATAAATTGGGAGTTTTTAGCTTTTGCTGATTGTGCACCAAGAAACATTTAAGCCTGAAGTAGTTTCTAAGTCAATATCAATTACATAAGATTTGTTTTCTTCACATACAGAAGTAGTTACCACCACTCATCTAGTACATGGGTTCTGTAAGGTCTGGGTTGGTTTTCTGTGCTAACAACTATTATGCCACGAACCCGTGAGATGATTGCCTATTGCGAAAAATGAAAAGATTATTGCCCCTAACTTATGTTTTTATAGTTCAGGATGGTCATGGAAGAAATATCTAATACTGATGGAGAGCAGAATCACTGTACTATAGGCATGAGAATAAGATACTAATAATCAAGCCACAACTGTCTTAAATTT